AAAATAGGGCAATCAAGCCAAGTACCGATATTATGTATTAGATTCAGGTATATAGAGCATGTAAAATAACAGATATGTGCATGTTTTTGTTTTTAAAAACACGAACAGAAACTGTGTGATGATTGTGAATGAGCCACAGATTAGAGAGAATTTTTAAACTCTCGTTAATCAAAGAAAGCTAAGAGCTGTAGGTTATACAGCCATATCTTCGGCAGCTTCATTATTTTTGTTATGTTTTTATTATAACCATATTTTAGATTTTTAGTGTATCACACCTTATAATGTGTTTATTTAGGTGTTTGGCAAAAAATGTACGGCAATAGACTTTATGATGTCGCCTACCATCTATATTAATTGTCTTAGCACATTTGCATGTAGTAAAAATGATAATAAAGTTGTGGATATTAATACCACCCGTGTAATAAAAAAAATATATATTTTATCAATCTTTACAAAATAGATTTGTTTTGATGTTATATAAACAACCTCGATCAGTCTTTGTGAATGTTACTACACCCATAGCCAATAAAAATGATTCGTATGTTTTCCAAACCGGTAAAAATAGAAGTCCTTTTTTAAAATTAATATATTATTTAAAGGTGGGCGTTAAAATCTAATGACTGTAAAATAAAGTATAAATTACGCCAAGAATTACTATATATGTCAATATTTTATTTGCATTTAGGCCAATTTGACCAATCTCCTTTGACATTGACATTTCGGTTTGCAAACTATTCGAATTCGATAATGGTTCGTGCTAGGGGTACAGATAGCTGGGAAATCCGGGATTGTCCCTGAATTTTGCGTCTTCTTCCGTGTCCAGTAATTAGATCTTATTGTCCCGGAATTCCCAAACACCAGTTTTTTTTCACAATAATACTATAAACACTCCTACCTGCGAGGGGCGACAGAAGCATGCCATATAAAGGCATTCGTTACTGACCTATATTTTGATGTGATGTTTTATTTCTAGGGAGGGGGGAGAATGTCCCGGAAATGATAAGCCAGCATCTGGCAACCCTAGTTAAAACACGAAATTAACACAAAACTTAGATAATCGTGTTCTACCATTTAAGTGTTGTTTGTATATTGATTGTTCGAGGAATTTAGAGCTTGAGAGTGTTCTTGAGACGTTTAGAGTGTAAATGTACTTCATGGAAACTATTCTGCAACAAGAAAAAAAAAAAAAAAATTCTTTTATATTATCTATACATATGAAACTCAAAGGTGACTGACTGACATAGTGATCTATCAACGCACAGCCCAAACCACTGGACGGATCGGGCTGAAATTTCGCATGCAGGCAAATGTTATGACGTAGGCATCCGCTAATTCTACCTCCAAGGGGATTAAATAGGGAATGAAAGTTTGTATGAAACTTTGTCAATTTTAAACCGATCGGGCTGAGCCTTTGCATGCAGGTATAAGAAGAATCATAGATGAATGTCATTGTGTATAATACAAGCCTGAGAACAAAAACTGTAGTCTACACTTCAGCTCTACACCGAAGCGAAGCGAGGGCGGGCCGCTAGTTATGAATAATAATCAAACTGTAAGCACTGTTCTTACGTGAAAACCTTGTCCCGAAACAATTTTCTTCGTATAAAATTTGGTTAATTTTTGGTTATTAAAAGAAAATAATTTGGTATCTTTAGTGACTGTGACTGTTTCACTGAGCTTATTACGCTGACAGAAACTATTTTCTAATTTATTTATTTATGAAAAAAATTAATTAAATTCTAACTAATTATATTAACATTTTTGATAGTTCTAAATTGTATTATAGGACTAAATTAATTAAATTCTAACTAATTATATTAACATTTTTGATAGTTCTAAATTGTATTATAGGACTATGCAAGTAAAGTCACGTAACAGGCAAATTCTAGAATACTCTTAATCAGATCACTGTAATGTTAATTACATAACCTAATCGACAGAACGATTATTCAAAATAAAATTAACTATCAAACCAGTGAACCAAATGTTCACCAAAACCTGATTTAAAAAAAAATGTATTTAATTAATTGAGAACTTCGAAGATTTTGTGTGGTTTCGTTTGAAATTCGTGATTTCTCGAAAACCGGAAGTGCTACGTTACTCAAATCCGGTTTGTAGTCTTATCAGACTATTCTTAACTTATAACTTAAACGTTCTCTTTATCTATCTCTTACGGTTTGGCCGCTGAAACAGCACCACAGGCAGACGGACGGACGGACGGACTTGTCTAATAGATAAGAGATACTTATGGGTCTCTTACGATGCGGCTGACCTAAAATAATTACGATAATTTCTAGTTCTTATTAACAAAAATTGGAATTTCCTGATTAACCGATCGTTTGGACTTATTAATTTACTGGGAAATATATTTTAAAGGTAGCTAGTTCGGTTTTGACTGTAGTCCAGGTTTACCACATCATGCATGCAGTCCCGTGATCTCTATAGAAGGTCGTAAGTTCGATATCCGATGAATATGATACAGTTTACCAATTTATTTATATCGAACACGAAAGCCAAATCGTTACAAATAACATTAAAAATATCGGTGAGTCACATCTTGGTATATTATGCCAGTATTTGGCATATATGCCAAATATAGCTAACGGCTGCTGTGACTGTCTAACTAATCGCTCGATGGCAGGATTCCAATATTTGTATGTGTGATTTATTTTGTTTCGTACCAGTATGAATTTTTAATTATTTATATGAATTTGTATTAGGGGCAATTGTTTCAAGATACCTGGAGTACCTTGTTTTTTATACGCAGGCAAAAATATTGTTTACAGACGACGGCGCCTTTAAGAGGCACACCGCCGAACGGACCTGACACCTGGCTCCCGCAAGTCTTACAAGCCTCAGCAGTGGTTACCCACTGAGGACCCTGTAACTCTTACGGGCGCTTTACGGCATTATATACGCTAAAAAACCCTGCGAATACTCTCTAAGCTGCTTAGCGCGAAGCCGCGGGATCCCCGTTTAGGGCAGTGTTGCCAACTCTACGTCTTTTTACGTAGATCTACGTATTTTAGGCCTTTTCTGCAAACCTACTAACTTGAGGCCCAGAATCTACGTATTTTCTTTATTTTTTTCAAATTTGTAAAATAACTTAATTCACTAGAATAAAGAAGAATATTTTCCGTTACTTTACTTAAAAACTATACAAATGTTTATTTCTTATAAAGATGTATCTAAAAACTCTTGTATCTTGTAGAAAAGGTTCCCGTTAGTGGTTTTGTTGACGAAATTAATGCTGTACGCAGGATTTGTGAAAGGAGAAACGACAAAACTCTTTGACTTAGTAGGTACATTCATAACCTTTAATGTTGAATTTTTAAACTTTAAATATTATTCAATGAGTACTTACATCGAATTAATCTTTGCAAAAAGAAATGACTTTCAGTCGATAAAATTACAGGATTTAGCAAGTTTTAAACATGTGTTCATGTGTAGCTATGTTTATTTCTCTTGGCAATTTAAATTACAACTTTTCTAGAGTCTTTTACCAAGTGTATCATGATAACTACTATATTTTTCATGTGATCATGGTTTTATAATATTAACTCATAAAGTTTATTTCCTACGTGCTTGCGAGTGTTGGTTTACAAATGTTTTGAGGTCATAGCATAGATAAGTCTATAGACTAAATAGCGTTTTTGTATGTCCATGCAAAATCTATTTTAAAATTAAAGTTTAGTAGCTTTCTAGTTAAAAAAAAAATACATTTTTTTGGTCTGATAGAACAATTATTAACAATTTAAAATATAACTCCAAAAAGTGTCAACTAGCCTATTGAACAACAGTGTATCCTTGTCATTCTCAATTCAGAATGAAAAGGAGAGACTGATGTTAAATTTAGTTTTAAATTTAGAGAATCGACACCCACCAGTGTCTGTGTCTGATGGTAAATGTCTACCACAGCATGGTTAATGCTTCCAATGCATATTACTCTGAGACAGCTGGTCGAACGCAACTCTTTGTTCTATCTCTCGTTTTTACAGAAATTGTATAACAAAATACTCGTTTCATTCGGTTTCACCTAACTTCTTCATTTCACTCAGAAAAAAGTACTTTTCATATGCAAAATTTACCAATTCTACGTAATTTTCTCATCGGGCCTACGCCTTTTTCAAAATCCGTGTTGGCAACACTGGTTTAGGGATTCTTCCGCGTCTTTGTACCTAGCAGCCTCCCGGCCTAGCCGGAGCTCCACGGCAGGGGTCTCCCGGGGAGATACCTGGAGTACCTAACTGTACTAAATTCTTGAGGATTTGAAATCAAGATTTGTTTTTTTTTTATTTATTATTAAGCTAAATAAAATGACTCGGTTGCACAATTGGACAGTGCGTTGCGAATAGCCGAAGATGCAGTTTCTAATCCCGTCTGAAACTTGGACCGAATATAAATATTTCTTGTAACATTTTGTTGAGATTTATTTAATCAAACTTTAGTGATAAAGATGTTCATGAGTGGAGCCGTGTAGAGCATTCATTACATCAATTTTAGGGATTCAGAGCTATGTATGTGATGTGATACAATCGAATCAAATATGTATAGAAAATTATATCTATATGTTGTTGTGTATCTTTCCGGCGGCAAATAAAAGTTTTGCCCGCACCCTTACCAGACTAAATAGGGACAAACTTCGCAGGATTATAGGATCCCTGACTGGTCATTGTCCCCTAAACAAACACCTATATACAATAGGAGTTACAGACAGCCCCCATGCAGAGGATGCATGGAGGCAGAAGAAACGCCACAGCATGTCATCATGGAATGCAGGAGTGTGGCCGACCAACGGGCACAACTACTCCAGTCACCAGAATCGTTTCCGGAGGCTTGCAGCAGTCTACCAAGGCTGCTTTCCTTCTGGACCGATATAGGCTGGCTGGAGTAAACGGGAATGTTTTTGAGACACGCACAATGGTCCAATAATTAGGACTAAGTGCGGGAACGGCCCTGAAGAACTAACTAACTAAAATGTTGTTGTGTAATTGTTACAGGAAGCAGAAGAATGGGCGAGACGGCAAAGTGGGCCAATGGTCAACCCTTCCTTCGAACCCGACGACTTCCTGCCACAAAGGTATAGTGTATTTAAAACTTATTTAATCATTCGTGTGCAGGTCGCTGCACGTAACTTTAGAGCTGAAAAAAACGCGTAACTGGAGAGCCAATCGGCGCAACGCACGCCCGCCCGCACACCTCGTTTCCCCCTAAGACATCTTAATGTTTAGTTTTGCCATAAATAGTGTTGCCGAACTATCGACAGTTTACATCGAAAATATTGTACCCTATCGATAGGCCTATCGATAGAATCGATACTATCGATAGCTCAGAACAAGGCAATACTATCGAATGAGTGCAATACTATCGATACTATTGTAGTTCGTTAATAACAAACTATTGATAGTATCGATACTATCGATAATGTTGATTTTATCTGCAACAATACCATCGATAGTATCGATACTAGAGCTGTTTTAGACTAAAGTTTGTGATTGACTATAATACCTGAAAATTGTAAACAATACTATTGCAATTTTTTAAACTATCGTTATCTATGGTTGCAAATAAAATCGCCAGTATCGATACTATCGATAGTTTGTTATTAACGAACTACAATGCTATCGATAGTATTTAACTCATACGATAGTATTGGCTTTTTCTGTGCTATCGATAGTATCGATACTATTGATAATATCGATACTATCGATAAGCCGATCGATTGTCATACGATTGGTTGGTTATCGATAGACTATCGATTAATCATCGATAGTCGACTATCGATCGGCAAAACTAGCCATAAAGGTCAGCGCTAGAGTTTCGTGTCGCGACTTATAAGTTGAGCAACTCTCGCTATGACCGGGTCACGGGATAAGGCACCAGAAGTTCTTCCTGTAAGCACGTTAAGCCGTTGGACATGGCTGCATATTATGCAGTTATTAGCTTAGCAAACTATCAACTCGGAAAGTGTTATCAAATCAAATCCAAATTGTTTATTAAAATTTTATTCTGCACAGTACACGGATACAGACAAATAGTTAAAATTATAATTTAACAAAAAACAAAAATGAAGAAACTCCTTAAAATAATTTGTTTCTTAGGTTTTCACGCACATCACTCATTAAATAAAACTAGTTTTTCACGGGTTAATACACGAAACTTTATTTATTTATTGACGCATAAAGTACTTTATTAATTAAACTAGCTTTTGCCCGCGACTTCGTCCGCGTTATCGTCGTTTTTCGTAAAAAAGTAGCATATGTCCTTCCTCAGGGTTCCGTGGTTTTGATGTGACAGACAGATTAACTTTCGTATTTTAGTAGGGAAATATAATACTGTTAAAAATATCACAATAAGGAACCGCAGAATATTATTATTATCACTGTGCCCCGAGACCATCAGCGTGTAACTCCTTGTATGTTATTATGTTAATGTATTGGTAATATTGTTTAGATCGCTTTCACATGAGTCTTAAGTACATATAGAATGAAAATACTTCAGCGCAAAGCTTCCGGGTAGACTACGTTGAAATTTGACCCGTCCGGAACGTGAACATAAAAAATTCTAGGACTGCTAACCCGGGAAAGACCGACATAACTGACCATGTGAAAAACAACTGACACCGAGATCTACTCCAACAACACGAAAGGTCTGCCCTTGAGCCTTATTTATTGTCATTGCATAATACACCGATACTGGGAATTGCGTTCTTTTAAATTGGAATGGAAAATTATTTGGTATTATGGGAATTCTGGGAATAAAGATGGTTTCTCCTGCACCGCAACCTATTAAAATTTGAGCCTCGATTACATTTTGTTGCAACTGGGTTACTTTAAGCCGAGTTCCATTGCAAATTTGTGGTGGTCTTAAATTTCGGAGCAGAATAATCGGAATGCCAATTTTTAAACAAATTTCATGAGAAGGAAGTACGGGCATATTTAAAGAATTTAAAAATTCTATCGAGTGGCTTCTTGTTCATCGGCCATTCTATTTATTGAACTATAAACTTTGCTTTCCCCCTGGACATTCGACAGTATTTTATTATTAATCTCAGATGCCTGGTCATTGCGAGGAGTTAAAATGGACCTTTCGCATAGCCAAGAATTGTTCTTATTTAATATATTTGTTACGTCACCGTAAACTGACGATGTAAGATGTTGTTGGGATTGCACTATACAACATAACTCAGGCGTCAGAATAAATTTTCCTTGGTGTAGCAGTGGATAGGTATCTTTGGTGAAGGTATTTTCTTTAATAATATATCAGAAAATTCACGATCATCCGGGTTATCTACAGTTCTCACTCGCATGTTTATAGTCAAATGCACCGATTGTATATCACGCCACAAATAAGAGCTTTTCAGGCAAGCCCTAACCTCAGCAGCTCGGGTTCCCCGTGGTATTACCGTTAAGGTTTGTCGGAAATCACCACAAAATAAAACTGTGATACCGCCCATGGGTATCATTTCATCAGTCTTATATCTCTTAAAGTTCTGTCTACCGCTTCTACTCCTTTTCGATGGGCCATCGTACATTCATCCTATATGATTAAATTACACTTTGAACGAATATTTAAACACTACCAAAACAACTAATACGTGGTCCTAACTTTAGCTACCTTACACATAAAATCTAAGTGACTATTTGAACTAAAATATTCTTATAGAATTATAACCAGAAATATATACAACTCACAACAAAAAAGAAATGAAAATAAAGCTGAAACGCCTGTGCAATACTATCTACCTATACCTCCTTCACTTAAAAATAAATACTTATAACTACTTTAATTAATAAAAGTACCTACGCTTAATAATTTTTAATTTGAACGAATATTTAAACACTACCAAAACAACTAATACCTGTTTTACAAAATAACAACAAAAGAAATTCAAATAAACTATTTAAAGACTAAAAGTCGCGCTGATAAGCACGGTTTCGGTCTCCCAGGCGGGGGAGCAGATGAGAAATCCTCATGGATACCCTACAGCCGGCTGCAAGGTACTGACTAAAAAACACCCGTAGGGGCTGCCTCTGGCCGGGAAGGCCTCTAAGGCTTCATCGGAAGCGATCGTCCCCCAGGGGGGGAGCGACGCAGAAAACAGATTTAGACAGCTCGCTCTCGGACCTTTGATACCCTACCGCTGCCGCGACCCGTGTCGAGCGCGGCAACCGTTACACAAAAATAATCCTTATAGCATGATTCAGTATTCACGTGCGACGGCGCGATGGCTTATTTCATGTATAAGTTTGGTGTTTCTATACCGAGTATTATAAACTTAAGAGTAAACAAATATGATCAGAATGCGCCGAACTGCTAAGCTATCGGGAGTTACACGTGTTATTGTGAGTCAACCATAAAAGATAGACATATTCTGTTGTGGGATATTTTTTAAACAATTTTATGTAGAATATTTCCGTCATACATGATTTCTATGTAACTTTAATCATTAAGGCTGCACACGCGACGGAAGCTTAAAAAATGGAGTAACTTCTCCCGTTTTCCCAACATTTCCCTTCACTACTCTGCTCCTACTGATTGTAGCGTGATGAAAAGTATACTATAACCTGCCCAGGAGTATGAAGAATAATTGTACCAAGTTTCGTTAAAATCCGTCGAGTAGTTTTTGTTTCTATAAGGAACAAACACACAGACAGACAGACAAAAAATTTACTGATTGCATTTTTGGCATCAGTATCGATCACTGATCACCCCCTGATAGTTATTTTAAAAATATATTTCATGTACAGAATTAACATCTCTACAGATTTATTATAAGTATAGATTAAGTAATAAATTCATTCATAGACAATAAAACTTTAAAAATCGAACAATGAAATAACCGAACGCTCAATAAAAGTCTTTCGAAGGTGGCTCGACAAAATTAAATAAAAAATCGTTCCGACGAAGCAGCCTGTAAAGGCTGCGAAACGTCAATAAATAAATAAAGTTTCGTGCCCGTGAAAAACTAGTTTTATTTACTTAAAATAAAATTAATACAACTTGACATGTAATTTATATAAAAAAAAAATATTAATAACATTACCTTACCGATTAATGTCTGATGAATGAATGGTTTAATTTAAATTTGTTGATTGAGTAGACGTACCTGCGGGTCTTGATGGCGAACGGCAGTGTACGGGAAAACCAATACTGGTTTATGAGACACTGTTATACACTTAAGATTATAATGTATTTCTTATAATCTATACTTATAATAAATCTGTAGAGATGTCAATTCTGTACATGAAATATATTTTTAAAATAACTATCAGGGGGTGATTAGTGATCGATACTGATGCCAAAAATGCAATCAGTAAAATTTTTGTCTGTCTGTGTGTATGTTCCTTATAGAAATAAAAACTACTCAACGGATTTTAACGAAACTTGATACAATTATTCTTCATACTCCTGGGCAGGTTATAGTATACTTTTCATCACGCTACAATCAATAGCAGCCGAGTAGTGAAGGGAAATGTTGGGAAAACGGGAGAAGTTACTCCATTTCTTAAGCTTCCGTCGCGGGTGCAGCCTTAATGGTTAAAGTTACATAGAAATCATGTATGACGGAAATATTCTACATAAAATTGTCTAAAAAATATCCCGCAACAGCATATGTCTATCTTTTATGGTTGACTCGCAATAACACGTGTAATTATATAAATAAAGTCATTCTTTATAGCACAAGCCTGAGAACAAAAACTATAGTTTACACTACAGCTCTACACCGAAGCGAAGCGAGGGCGGGCCACTAGTATAATAAATAAATATTAAAAAAAATAATGTGCTATACTGGAGTCGATTCCGGCACTATTCCCCAAACTTAAACCCGACAACAGTGTATCCTTGTCACTCCCTATAGAGAATGAAAAGGAGAGAAACCTATGCCAAATTCAGTCCAAAGTTAAGAGAATCATGCCAGAATCGACAGCACTATCCGTATCCACAGCTGCGCTAAAAAGGGTCCAGTACCCTTAGCACGAACCAATATCGAATTCGAATAGTTTGCGAGTGCGAAATGTCAATGTCAAATTATGTATGGAAACTTGAACAGCAGCAGCACAAAGTACGTAACGTGAACTAAAATTCAGTACACATGTACATGACACAATGCTGAACTATAGTTCAGCATTGTGTCTGTGCAGTGTCCACTGATATTGGCGCTGACGATAATGCGAATTAATATCATTGCGAATTAATAAACTCCTTTTATGTACTCGTATAAGTATTTCGTAGTAAGCGGATGATGAGTTCGTAAGTCATGTACGTCTTTATATTAGCGGTCCATGTGCTCAAACCACTTAGATACTTGTTGCGTGTTTGTGTTGCGTTTAATTATCCATTGTAAGCTATTGTGAGGCACAGTTTGCAAAACTTCACCTGAATATTAAGTGCTGATTTTTGCCTTTGCTGTGCGGAAATGGGTAATACAATTTGGTGCCATGATGCTGATGACGTATAAGAACAAATATAATACAGGATGTTACAAAAATACAAATAAAGCTTGAAGGGCGTTGAAATACATCATATAAAGAGTCTTCTCTAATTTTCTTAAAATATTTGAATAAAGTTTTACCTTTTTATAAAAACATTTATTTTTAATGATCCTCGAACTAGTGAGGTGTCTTAAAACGTTCGATATTTTTATTAATCATTAAAAATAACTGTTTTCATAAAAAGTTAAAACTTCATGCAAATATTTTAAGAAAATTAGAGAATACTCCTTATGATGTACTTCAACGCCCTTCAAGCTTCATTTGTATTTTTGTAACACCCTGTATATTGGATTATTTTTCTTCTTTAGAAAAAGAGATTGTTTCATACCTATATACTTGTGCCCGCAAAGTGAAAACCGCTACTTAATACCACATAGATATAATTTTAACATTTTACTGAAGTTGTAAAGTTTGAGCTTAATTACTTACAAAAAAAGGTTAAAGTAAGTTTAAATCTAAAGAAAAGTTTTACTAGAAAAAAAAAGCCACACGGACCAGGCAGCGGACGGGACTCGAACCCGCACCCTTCGCAATCCGGGCGAATTCACTGACCAATTATGCAACCACGGCCCTGAGGCCGCGTCGAAATTTCCCTAGCCTTAAGCTGCAAGGCAGCGCCATCTCTTCGCATTGTAGGTAACCCGCAATGTCAAATTTAAATAAGTTTTTAATAGTTTTAGACTAAATAATTTGTTGGGAGCTGTTTTTCACTTAATTAATATTATCAGCTAGTTCTCATCAAATGTTCTCTTTACTTTATTTAAATACAAAGTTTTCATATGTAAAGCAATTCTTAGAACATTAAATAAACTTAGACAATCACAACAAAGTCTTTATCTATTCCATTATTATGACTTGCCTTAATATAACATAATTAAACTGAAAATGTAAAACACTATACCGAAGGCAGTAAACTAATAAATAGTCATTTATTCCTTAAACAATTTTTCATTGTATTAGAAATCACAAACAATTTACAATAAGATAAAATTAAAATTACAATCCAATTAAATATGCCAAGCATAAAATTTCAAAAAATCTTATATAATAACATTTCAAAGTCAATCAAACAATTCACAATTAAATAACTACTTCATGCAATATTATTAAAATTGCAGCATACAATTTGAAATAAATCGACTATAATTTAAACATGTCAAAGAAATTTAATTTCTGTCATCTAAATATTCTTCTATGGAATAGTAACATTTCTTCAATAAGAACATTTTAAGTTTGTCTTGGAATTTATATGGACTGTAAATGGTTTTCAATTCTAAAGGGAGAACATTAAAAAGCTGGATAGCTTGGAATCTCACGCAATGACTGACACTTTTAAAATCTTTTCGACGAGTTAGAATAGAAGAGCTACCTACAAGTTTCCACTCCGCCTTTCAATTATTGACATTATTGGACATTGGACCTGTCTTTAAAGACAACACTGTATTCGCCTTTCTTATTAAATCAGAATGACCCTTTTGATTTAAATTGCTACACGAGTTAAGAGGATTGGCTAAAATATATTATTTTATTGCAGACGAAGTTACAAACGTATTTCCTAAAGCTTTTTCAGAGTATCGGGCAACTTTATTTTAATTTTACCTATTCTTTTATGAGAAAGGACTATACAATTATTCCTCCGTGTCTGAAGACCGGTGACGAAAAAAGCTCGTTCGGTAGCAGGTGGGATTTTTAGTAACGCACCTGTCACAACATATCTGACTTTACCGGAATGCAATCTTCAGCAACGAAAAATAATTCCATCTTTTAAAAATATGATGTTTATTACTTTAGGTATTTATATTATTTGGGCCTTAGATATATGTTAAAATTATTGTTTTTTTGTGTCTTTCGTAATGAGAAAAGCAGGGTTATTACATTCGTTGTTAATCGATAAAACTAAACGCGTATCCTAGCAATGTACCTTCTTACGAAACTGTACGGACAGTTATAAGATTGTAGGTAGTTAGTACAGATTACTGCAGACTCGGACAGATTGTGAATAAACTGGATTAATTAACGAACTTATCGGTTGCAATGTCCAACTGTAATGGACGTCCATGGACCGGATCTAAAGGCGAAACTTCAAACACATCTTCCGAACCTCGCGGTATTGACAGGTACGACTAAATAGTAACTTCTCAGAAAACTGACACGTGTATTTAAAACCTCAGTTGTTACATCATTTACAATGAATTGATGTAAACATTTTATTAATAATTCTAGAAACAAATCAAAAGCAACATGGCAAATATTAAACTAAAACTAGGCAAATATTATAAAAATAGTTGCCATAAGTCTTCGCCGTCGGCAAAGGTTCCCAGGACGCTGGCGGCATTTCCCCGCTGAATGGCGAGGCTTATGCGCCGGGCGAAATAGCCGCCAGCTATTTCTTCGGTCTCCAATGGTCTCCACCAATCTTTTGGCGATTTCTTTGAAAAGATGTTGGGCACCGGAGCCCCAGGATCCCTGAGTCTCGACTATGAATTGATGTTGCTTAAGATATTTTGTTAACTGGGATTGCTTTAGTTAATTCATATTAAAATAAAAAGGTAGTATTTTGTTTGTTCAGTACTTCATTAAATGGCTTTGCGCTCTTTAACTAATGCAATTTAGTAATTAGTTGGTCTTATTTTTGATTATTTATATTTTTATGCGATTTCGTTTTGAATACCCGTTGCGAATGTGGTTGCAAATGTTTATGCATTGCGAAGCTTCAAGCGAACGTAATGCAAATATTTTTATCACCCTGCTATGTATTTTCAATTACTAACTCAATTTTTTAGTGAATTTAATTAAAATTCAATTTGAAAATGAAATGTTTATTTAAGCTCATTTACGTTACAAATACCAAATTTATAGTACTAGTAGGTATTATACTAATTTGAATGAAAGTAAAACTGAAATCTTTATTTCATTTATAAGAGTTTCAACAGTCTAACGTATTTGCAAACAAAATCATTTTTTTTACAAATTGTTTACACTTATAAAGATCAACTTCTAACACTTGATCCCGAGAGGCTGTTCTTCGCATCACTTCGATCTAAAAACATCAAATTGTCATCAAATAACGTATTTTTTTTTTTTGTTATTTCATAGTTTATCGCCCGTGAAAGACGAGAAGATGCGGCCAGGTCCCGACAAGGGAATATTCCTGGTGAATATGAAGGAGAAGAACATCCAGGAAGAGGAATACGAGCCCTATGACAACAGGGTGGTGGAGCATCCAACTACGTAAGTAACAAACGCAAAGAGCTCCGTATATTAGGGATGTCGAAAGTTGAAAAAAATATCGATATATCGATACATCGATATTTTAAAAAATATCAACATCGGCTTCGATATATCGCGAAAAAAACATCGATATATCGATATATCGGACCAATTTTCCCAAAAATATATTTAGGTCAGAAATAATAACAATACAAATTATAATTAAAGAAAGAATTATCAAAGTACCAAATTGCCGCTACACTACATGACAGTACAATATCTCACGAAAGATGACAAGCGGAATAATAATGGAACGAAAATTATCTCCCTAAAAATAGACCCTATTTTCGAATGATGAAAATTATTGCAGGGCCTCCTTACGTGGCATCTTTCGTAAAGAACACTAGACAGTCACACACTTCCACAGAATATAATTGAATTCAGCACAACCAATTCACTAGCGAAACAGATTTACAAATCATAGAAAATACTAAATACAGCACAAATCATAGATATGTTGAATATCATTAATCTGAGCTTCAGTTACGATTTTTCCAGATACGAATTTAGTTAGATCGTGATATGCCGCTAATAATTAAAAAAAATCGTTTTTGATACGAATTTCGATATTGGTTATTTTGTATCGATGTATCGATATATCGAATCAAAATATATCGGCTAAAAATATCGATATATCGAACAAAAAATATCGATATATCGATATATTTTCAGCAAGCCTACCGTATATCATGTCACGATGCAACCCAACAGTGCAATTCTGCAAGAACAAACTCATAAAAAGGACAATGGGCAAAACACACCCAGCTCCGCCAACAATGTAATTAGTATGAAACGATAGATCTATGAAAAACTAGCCTTTTTTATTATGACGCCCTAAAAAATATCCTGGTAGTGAAAAGATATGACACATGGGCATACTTAAGTAGGTAAATAAATTAATTTTATAGTACCTTAATTTTAAATTATTAGTAACCATAATAATATGCCATATCGTACTATACAACCAGATCTACGCCAAAGCCTGTCGACCATCCTGCGCTTGCACTTACTGAGCCACCACAAAACAGTTTACGGAGGTTGAAGGACTTGCATTTGCAAATAGTCGACTCGTCTTATTCCGTTGTGATTGTGGGCTTCCTGTCACTGGATTGATTTTTATCTAACACGCTTTGGACATAGGAACCCGATTATCGATTTTGTCAGTAAGTATGGATGAACTGGAATCATGTTTTCTCCGAAGCGTGTACAAGTTTTTGTGATTTGTGGTCGCTCCGTTTTACATAGAACAAACTGTTTGAATTGTTCGATCATTTGTCGTTATTGCAGCAATGTTAATATATAACGTACCCTCATCTATACGCTGAGAACTTCAACTGTCCACTATTACGATTCATGAAGTGACAGACCAGTGGCGGCGCTAGACCACATGTGGACGTCGGCGACATCAAGTTCGCGAGGCCTATTATACTTCGCAGTAAAAAACCGTTAAATTAAGTGAGCCAAATTATAAAATAACGTATGAGTAAACGAGTTTTATTGTTGATAATCAAATGATGACAAAAAAAATTAAAAAAATAGAAATTTAATTACAAAAATAGTGTTGCCAGACAGACGATTCTGAATATCCGTAAAGTACTACTCGCTTCCATCACGCACGTGTTCGAAAATAATAAAAGTTTTTCCGCGAATTGTCCGGGGACGGCTACCTAAGCCAGACCAGGAGAAACGAAAATTAATAGATAACTTGTAAAAATTTTTTGCGAGGCCCCCTCAAGCGCGAGGCCGTCGGCGGTGGCCGACGTCGCCGACGCCTAGCGCTGCCACTGTGACAGACAGACGGACAGCGGAGGGTTGTGTTTCGGGAACTACTTACTTAATACGCAAATTAGTAACGGGAATGCACTGGAAACATAGTGAAAGAAGTTCGTGTAATACTTGCAATGATAAGATTGTGATTAGTTATAAATTAAAATTTCCTTAAACATGTCATGGTAATGGGTGGTTTGTTGTGGTTATAATACCTTTTCAACATATAAAAATAAACTTTTGCCTAGTTAGTACCACAAAAAAGTTACACATGCGTTCAACACGAGTTTAAGAAAAAATATCAAAAAATAAATGTCTAAACAGCAAGTTACTTTTTTGTAGCATGATCGTTGGTGTCCTGAGAATAAGGCCCCTTTGTTTCATACTTTGTGTATACATAGTTAAATTTGACTATTAGCAACTGTTACGTCAAATACATCTCTTATCTATTAGACAAGTCCGTCCGTCCGTCCGTCTGTCTGTGGTGCTGTTTCAGCGGCCAAACCGTAAGAGATAGATAAAGAGAATATTTAAGTTATAAGTTAAGAATAGTCTGATAAGACTACAAACCGGATTTGAGTAACGTAGCACTTCCGGTTTTCGAGAAATCACGAATTTCAAACGAAACCACACAAAATCTCCGAAGTTCTCAATTAATTAAATACATTTTTTTTTTTACATAATTGGTGAACATTTGGTTCACTGGTTTGCTAGTTGTATTTTAACCTTATATAATATCATTGATTTTAACCATCATTCATCATCAGCCTATTTATGTGACCACTGCTGGGCAGGGCCGTCTTTAACCCATTGCAGGCCCTGGACATATTAGGATAATGGGACCCATATGACTTTGATGTGGAGCGAGTCATACTGATGATTTTTCTTGTGTATGTGCATAGTATACCATTATATATATATATATATATTTAAATTTATGTAAGCATTCTGAAGTCGGAAAGCCTAATTTTTGGGCGAGAGTTGAATAGCTTCGCTTATGTAAAAGCTAGTAAGCTAGTAATTTGTAAAGTTGGTATTGTGGTCAGTCAATGAGGGCTATCGCGTCTGAAACCGCCACTAGAGGCGCTTGTGTAGCGCGAGGTCTCCGAAATGTCAAACGTTATTGCTTGTGCGTCGACTACGCGGTTTTTTTCTAATTAAAATAATAGTTGTGAATATTTGGTAATAACTCAGACTAATTATGGCAAATATGAGTTACGTGTCAATGAATGTAAGTTATTTAAAAGCGGAGCTAAGAAAAAATATTGTCCTTCTTTTTTCCGAACAAAACGGGACTGCGCGACACTGTGGCATGGGCGATCATGTTTAAGATACGATTCTTTAAACATTGATATCACGAGCGTGTTTACTAACTTTAAAAGCTACACTTCAGGACCTCACTCAACAGTGGCGCCATCTGGTGAGACAAAAAACGGTAGCCCTCATTAGGTTCGATTACATCGAATTATATAAGTTTTTTGGCAATAAATATTGGTTATCGTTTGACATTGTGATCTGACAGGAACTAGGGACTTTGTATTTGAGCTGAGGGAGGCCCCTATCGATCGCGGCGCCCTGGGCACTTGCCCAAAATGCCCATTGGGAAAGAGGGGTCTGCTGGGGCACAGGCCTTCCAATGACTGGTCACGTGGGTCCATTGCGGATTTTAACTATAGTCACATTCAACTATGTATCATATCATACTATATTAATGTCTTTGGTATCAAACAACCAGCCCATGTTAAAGCAATCGTAAATTAAAATAAAAACTCTTGATAATCAAAGAAATTGTGAAATCATTTTATTCCTTAATAAGAATCTTCATAATTAGCTGGTTTTATAAAGGGAATATTATGTTATAAACATTGAGGCTGTACATTACGGTACATCGGTACATGACATGACGTCAATAAAACTTAACAGCCTGTCTTTGTGAGATAAAAAGTTCACTTGTTTCTGCTAATTTTGTATCATTACTGGGTGAATGAATTTTTGTTTAATGCAAAAGGGTTACTTACTTAGTAACATGTTTGTAATGAGGATTCTTTCATCGTTGTAATCAAAGTGTACATTAAAATCTGGCACTTGGGGCCACTTGCGATTAATTAATTAATCGTCTGATTAGATTCTATCACAATTAACATGATAAGTACACAGGTAGTCAGGTAACCAAATAGTATCAATGCTGTTAGCTATACGAACAGCGTGTCTTATATCCTGCTTCGGATATGTATGTACAAGGCTTTTCCTATAACATTTCCTTATCATCGTTCAGGTACCTTTTCTGTGCCTACTTATAAAGACTAGTCTTCCGTATCTTTTATTAAGAGCCCTTTTACAAAATTGCGCCGATGCCGTACTGATCGGCGCGTAGGTAGATTTGCACTAGTATATATTGCATTTTACGGGTGATGTTTCGAGTCTTATAAAATAATTATTAATGAACTAATTATAAAATTATAAACATACTAGCTGACCCAGCGAACTTCATACCGCCATAAAAAAATTTAATTAAAAAAACATTGTTCAGCGGACAAAATTGTGAATCTAAACCATTCTCAGATCCCCTTGAACACACACAAAAAATTTCATCAAAATCGGTCCAGTCGTTTAAGAGAAGTTCAGTGACATACACACTCACAGAAGAATTATATATTTAAAGATAATAGTCATACGTAGTTCAATGATAGCAGATTAGTTTTGTGAAAGTTTTTGATAGTAATTCTATTGAATTAAATATCAAAATACGAGGTAAACCTGCATTATGTGTTGGGAAAACTCACGGAGGTTAGACTTTTTTTTTTGATAATTAATGAGATGTAAAATCAAAATTCTAATACATTATGTTAGAACAAAAACACATTTCTGATGTCGTAGTAATTAATTTGATCTAATTTATTGAACATTATTGAGAGATTGAGGCGTTTGTAGTTTTGTGCATATTATCGTATTTTCCGTAAACTAGCTGCAGTAGAACGATCAGTACAAAAAAAGGAAAATAGTATTTGCAAATATTCTACATTAACTTACAATAGGAAGAATAAATCTACTATTAACTTCTATTGGAAATAATCAAAATCTTTTCTAAGGGGGTAAACGAGACGCTCAAAAAAAATTTTTTTTTTTTTGCAAAAATGTAAAAGTACTCTTAAGTGTTTAGAGTGAATGTTCTTAACGAACGGCGTATAAATGGAAAATCCTATGGATAAGATTAAAAGGAAAACTGATGTATGTGTGGAATGCGTGCGCAGCTCTTCCCGACAAGCATGAAAGTTGGAGGGTAACTCGGCGAAAGCTGAAACGCTACGGACGTCACGAGCATCACACGCGACAGTATATAGATGACTGATATGTGCGCTGCTCCATTCCTCTATGCCTTATGCACCGCCTAATGATAGGTTATTTAAGAAAAGAAGTTTCACTTCAGATGTGTGGTCCGTGCATACTAATTTCTTTGATGTGTAACACCTTCCTTCTAGCTTTCTTGCAATTTGTGGGAGTGATTTAGTGAAATTGCTAAGGCTTTTTGACAAGTTTTTGATAACGTTCATACGTTATTTATAAAAGCGGTATACTTATAATTCTGTTCTCAGTAAAATTATGTTTTCTAATATGCCGCGGAAACGTATACCAAGCAAATATGGCGTCTTACAGGCTAATGAAGTAACACGTGCTCTCTTTATATCGTCAAAAAGTACAAAGTAATGTCACTTCGTTAGCATGTTTACAAACAGCTGACGTCATATTAAGCTAATACAAGGAGGTTTCGGTCACATGACAATAGATCAAAGAAACGACGAGCCTTACAGTAGTCGCGTATGATTAAAACTCACCTTATATTAGTAAAAACAGAGTGAAAATCTACTACAAAAGGAATTAGCCATTTAAACATTATGTTCTAAAATCTAATCAAATAGCGCACGCTTTCGCTACTTCCTGTTACACACTTCCGTCCCATTTCACGAAATCACATCCACAAATTGCAGGAAAGCGAGAGGAAAGATGTTACACATCAAAAATACTTTTCAATTTCATGATATAATATTGATATAATATATATCAACTACTTTTCTTGTCAGATTAGTGAAATCACTCACAATATTCATGTTAAAAATAAAGTACCAAATCTTAGCATAGTATTCAAAATACACAGTCGTGCTATGAATTGGTAATTAAATATTAATACTTATTATACTTATTTTTTGTAATTAATAAAAATTATAACTATAATTGCTATTTCTTCTTTCAAATGTTTAATACTTGTAAAAGTATTCATTTGACATTATGGTTTACCTATAATGCGAAGAGATGGCGCTGCCTTGCAGCTTAAGAATGGCTAGAAGAATTTCGACGCGGTCCGTGAGGGCCGCGGTCGCATAATAGGTCAGTGCATTCGCCCAAATTGCGAAGGGTGCGGGTTCGAGTCCCGTCTGCTGCCTGGTCCGCGTGGAATTTTTTCTAGTTATATTTTCTTTAGATTTATACATCAAGCAGTTACATGCTTAAAATAATAAAAAATATAAATACTTCTTTTACTTATATTTTGTTCTTTTCTAACGTGCGCCTTTGTTTACAGGAACACGGAAACTCTACTACATCTGCTCAAGGGCAGCTTAGGGACGGGAATATTGGCGATGCCTCACGCGTTCCACAACTCCGGCTACGTGGTCGGTGCCATAGGGACGGTGGTGATCGGCGTGCTGTGCACCTACTGCATCCACATCCTCATCGACTCCTGCTACGTGCTCTGCAAGCGGCGGAAAGTGCCATCGCTCACTTATACGGGGGCTGCTGAGGCCGCGCTGTCCGAAGGCCCTGACTGGTGTAAGGCCTGCGCTCCTTATGCTGCGTAAGTATGAAACTAAGCCAGATATTTTTTGTTGAATCTACTCGTCTGGTTTGAAATTAGTAGAAGAATCAATCGCGAGAAGAGGCAATCACGAGGTCAGCTATGGACAAACTTCAAACTTCAAAAAATATGGAGAAACAGGAGCATTACAAAAGCCACGAAAACACGACTCGTCAGGGCATTAGTGTTTCCCATATTCCTCTATGGTGCTGAGACGTGGACCTTGCGGGAGAGTGAGAAAAAGAAGATAGACACTCTAGAAATGTGGTGCTGGAGGAAAATGCTTGGCATACAGTGGACACAATTCCGAACCAATGCATCCATCCTCCAGGAACTGTCTGTCTTCCATCGTACAAGGTCGTATTCTAACTTTCTTTGGCCACATCTCACGCCGAGAAGATGTGTCAGTGGAATGACTGGTGGTGCAGGGCAAAGTCGAGGGCGTAAGGGCGCGCGGCAGATCACCAATGCGCTGGACTGACCAAATAAAAGCGGCACTGAACGGTCCACTTCATGAGTGCACTAGAAAGGCCGCAGTGCGGGACGAATGGCGGCGTATTGTGAAGCGCGCCACCAATCCTGATGTGACGACCACGACCACTCTGTCAAGAGTGTAGTGCCGAAGAAGAAGAATCTAAGCAGAGGCGGCGATGTGGTGAAATCCCTCAACGGGGATCTCGCGGTTCCCCACTTAACAGTGTAGAGGGTATTCGCAGGGGTTTTTAACGAATAGTATGCCTTAAGCGCTCGTAAGCCGCGCGGACTGCTTAACGGCTTCTCTGTTTCGCACCCGTGAGAGGCTAGGCGTGAGGTCCGTTCATGATATGCCCCTCAAAGGCACCAACGTCTGTAAATAGAGATTTTGCCTGGGTAAAAAAAGGGTAATGGTTGCTCACGGGCGCTACATGGATTAAAGATGGATGTACCCATTTAGTATTAAGTTTTAAATTTTGACATTTTCATTATATTTTTGACAATTCAATTAATTTTTAAATGGTTGATTGAAAATCTGTTATGTTGGAACGTTTTATAATTATGAATGTAGATCTACCTACATTCACATCCTCATATTAAGTTTAAAATTTTGACATTTACATTATGTTTTGGACAATTGAATTATTTTTTACAATATGACTAGAATTGAAAATTTGTAATATTGGAACGTTTCATAATTATGACTGTAGATTCTATCTACAGTCATAATTATGAAACGTTATTTTGTTTAGGATTATTGCAATACCCTAACTGAGTTCTTGTTTGGAATGATATATATATTTTTTTTGTAACAGCATGTAAACAGCAAGAATGCAATAAATGATTATGAATAAAGCTGTCTCTGAATCCAAGAGTACAGTTCAGAGGCTTTCCTCTTTTAAGTAGGTTGGTATTAAGGAAAATTGACAGTTTGTGGTAACTTGAAGTGTGGCTGTATAGTGAACTTGTCGTGTATCCTCTTCGTTATTAAAACTTTATAAATAAGAGTATCGAAATTCCACTTCAAGAGTACAGACAGGCGCTGATCGACCGAGAGAATTGGTGAGCTTGTGAAGAAGGATCATACTATTGATATTTTTCATGATAAAATACCAACTTTAAAAAATAAAATATTTAGAATACTGGGAAAGTAGATACTTAACTGTTTAATATTATTGTTAACAAAATTAGTTTGCCAATAATGGGTCTGGTACGTAAGGGGTTCTCTGAACTTACGACCATATTAGGCAGTGTTCTCCCCTTTTAAATAATTATAGAGCATGATAGACTGTCGTGATTGTTCTGTGATTGGGCATATATTTGTGTTGTGTAGTAAATTCCGTATGTAGAAAATGTAAAAAGAAAAACTGTTTACTGTTTAGCGTATGATGAGGCCATCTTTAATTACAGTTATATTATATCCTAATACGTAAGCATATGTGTAAGTTTGTTTGTACTAATATAGCTGTGTTGATGGTCCATAAATAAATAAATAAAACATATGTATAGCAAGAAAATATGTCTGACTAACTATAACTAACCTATTTGAAACGATGTCAGGGTTTAGGATACCCAAATCGTTGTAGTTATGTAATTCGACTGAATGACGTAGTTACATGGATATATGTTCAAATTTAAATAGCTATAAGATTCCACTTCCTACTCTGGTCTGCCTGCGCGGGTCCGACTAGACTCAATTGAATAATACCTTCCTATACCCACCTCAACGACGAAACACGAGGAAATAATACGCACGGAATACTGTACCTAATAGAATTAGCGCTAACAGTATATTTTACCAAGTAGATACCTTATAATTTTTAACCAGATTAAATAAGAAGTTGTTGTTGGAACAACAAGGAGCAATGCTCCATGGGTAATTCCTACCGAATCCACACTCTGTATGTATTCTGTGACGGTTTTATCACACAACCGACGAAACGATTTCAATGAATTCTGTTATACAGATAAAGTGGACCTTTAAGATAAAGGCTAACTTTTTGTCGTGTAAATTTCATATAGGTAAAAAGTCAGAAGTTTGTCGGTATACGATCGATCGGCACATAGGTAGTAATTTTAATAGAAAATTCAATAGTAGGACTTAACGGGTTTTTTCAGTCTATTCATTTAATAGAACTGCAAAAAATCTATAATACAGTAAAGATATTAATGTCACACAAATTGAATTGCAAAGTTAGACTTTAATACTTAAGCTGCCTTATCGTAAGTATCATATTGTAACGAACTAAAAGTCCGTGCTTCTTCTGTAATGGTGATTTCAAACAACAAAAAAAGTTTATTAGCTACATTAGTATTCAAAGTGTTATGCCGTATTTGTTTCTAAGTGGTACTTTGTAATGTAGCTAAGACCCGGACATATTGTTCAATTTGTGTATTAGAAGTAAACACAAGCTATATCTACGTACAATACAATTCCTACTCCTTAAACTTGCACTTTACCGAAATAAGTTCTTATCTGAAATCTGAAATCCTCTATTTAAATAATCACTACTATTTAAATTCTTTAAAAAAGAGCTTTTTTATTTTCCTGCAAACAATTCATTTCAATAAATATTTGAACAAAAGTATTAATAGGTTAGGTTAACCTTTTACATAATAAGCTGTAATAATTAAATTTCAAATTTCGTATTCTAAGGCTACTATATATTTTTTATTAAATAAATCTTACTTTAAATGAATATTAAATTAAGGTGACTAAGTAGATGGCTAATTAGCAGAATGTTAAGGAATTTGTTTTTAAATATTGTGGCTTTAAAAAAAACTGCAGAATTAAGAACTTCCTCCTGTTTGAAGTCGGTAAAAATGTTACTTTTTCCCGGAAGAATGTGAAGGGCGAAGTATTAAAAAAAATCTAAAGAAACACACGCTTTAAAAAATAAAAATTATAACAATAAATTTCATGTTTATTGCAGGCATATAGTGAACGCGTTCCTACTGATCTACCAGATCGGAACATGCTGTGTGTACGTGGTGTTCGTGTCTGAGAACATCCACTATGTACTAACAAACCAGTTCGGAATACAAATAGAGGTGAGTTTTTAAAGCATCTAAAGCCTCGATGACACGGGGCGAGTTACAAGCTACAAGCCAGCGAGTCATCGGCTTTTTTACCATCTACTACTCGATGATATGCCTTATCATAAATATCATATTTATGGCATACGGGGCGGGTTTACTAGCCACTAGCGAACTCGCTGGCTTGTTGCTTGTAACTCGCCCCGTGTCATCGAGGCTTAAGTAAAGGAGTCAGTAAGAGATAGAAATGATAAATTCCTATTGATATCCTTGATTTGCCTCCTCATAAATTTAAAATACACATTAAGAATTGTTTACTTAAGAAAGGATATTATACTGTCAATCAATATTTGAATGATAAAACGGCTTGGTTGTAATTTTATCTGTAGATAATTTTTCAAAAGTTATATTAAAACTAAGGCTCCCAGCCTTAGAAAGAGTTTTGAAGAGAACCTTGCACTTACTCCCTTTCATATACTTGTTCATTTTGTTTTGAAAATTGTTTCTTGCTATTTTGGGACTTTTCTTTGCACTTATTGTTAGTAAATTCGTTGATTGTCTATTGTTACATATTTGACATTATGTGATGGAAGTTGACCTCAACACCTGTTTGCAAGTTTGATGTCAAAAAAGAAGCCCTTGCTGAGTTTCTTGCCGGTTCTTCTCAGTACAAGGTCTCCCGCCGTAGATTTGCGAACCGATGGCGTAGCTTTTCGCCATTCACAAGTGCTTGTAACAGCCTAGACTGAATAAACGATATTGATTTTTTTTTTAATTTTAAACGACTTCGGGTCAACGGATTCTCTGCTCGCCTGTAGTGTAGGAATCTAAGAATGCAACCAAATATTTTTTTAAGTAAGAAGTTTGGCATTGACTACCATCCCGATCACCCGCCTGATGACTACCCTGTACCTTACCACGAACCAATACTGAATTCGTAACGTTTGCGAGAACGAAATGTCATTGTCAAATGTGTACTGATTTTAAGTTCTCGTTACGTCCTTTGTGGCGCTTGTGCTGTTCAAGTTTCCATACAAAATTTGACAAGACATTTGGGAGAAATGTCTCCTATAGAATGAGAAATGTCATTGTCAAATATGTACTGATTTTTAGTTCTCGTTACGCCGTTATAGCGCTGCCGTTCAAATTTCTATACATAATTTGACAATGACATTTCGTACTTGCAAGCTATTCGAATTCGAGTTTCGTCCATGCCAAGAGTACGAATAGGTACGATGAAACACAATAGAGCTAAAAACTTAAAGTACCTATAATTAGACAACGAATAAGTAACAACTTATTAAGAATTAGAGAAAATCATCAAGTTTATTCCCATGATTCATATTTTGATCTCGCATATCAAATAAATCCTATAAACTTTTAATGATTTTAAAGCATTTAGTTGCATTCTTTGGATTTAAACATTTCTGATTAAGGAAAATTTTGTCCTAACAATCCAGGTCATCCAAATAATGGCGTGTATACTCCTACCCCTGGTGCTGATAAACTGGGTGCGGGACCTGAAGTATCTGGCGCCGTTCTCTGCAGTCGCCAATGCGGTCACCATCGCCAGCTTCGGCATCATACTGTACTACATCTTCAGGGAGACGCCCACTTTGGAAGGCAAGGAAGCGGTGGGGAAACTCGGCGACTTCCCGCTGTTCTTTGGCACTGTGCTGTTTGCCTTGGAGGCCATTGGCGTGGTGAGATATTTTATTTAGCTTTTCTTAATTAGATGAGGAGCTCGATTGCGCAAGTGATATGCACATTCGACCTGCGTTCGTGAAAGTTAAGCAACGCGATGGTCGGGTTTTGGATGAGTGACCAAAATACCCTTTATCTAGAACACCTATCGTTAGCACCAATCCGCACTAGGCCCGCGTGGTAGGCCCAGTCTCCCTACTCAATCCATAGGGAAGGCCTGTACTTCTGTAGTAGGGACATTAATAGACTGGTGATGATAGTTAATTAAATAAAATATAACTACCTACAACTGTGCTCAGAGACGGCAATTCTTCTGCCAGTTCAATGTATGTTCAAACGTAATATTGACATCTCTAAATACGACCGTATTCTAATAGTGTGGTGTCTCTCTACCATTGAACCGACGCGTCGTTTGTTAACAAGGTCTGAATAAATCAATAACACAGACTAGTTAGAGATACTACGTATCAGACGACCGACTCTAGTACAAAAAAAAGTTAGCGTCTACACAAGTACTTCTAGTCTTGTATGACATTTACTTACTTTTTAAAATTTTGTCAAAGGGTGGCTAAGGCTCAACTTTATTCATCCATAAAATTTTAGGTACCTAGGTATCCCACTTAATCGGAATTTTTATTAATAATTAAAGGAACTTCAATAAAACACATGAATTATTTATTAAAAGATTTATTTTTTATTATATTTTTCCAACGCCATTTTTTGCGTCATAGGCAAAGAATGATTACTTAATCGGAAAATGTCAGTGCCCTTTAGTATTTTGTTTGTTCTGCACCAATTGATTATGGCAAATTTAATAACTAAATTTAAAAAATTATCTATTACCAATAACTTGTGCTCGGTACATACAATAAAATCAAATGAATACTTAAAAATAACTACTTCTTTTATATTCTTGGCTATATTTGTTTCATGTCCTTTTATTTCTAAGTATTCATTTGATTCGTTAATTATTGTACCAAAGCACCTTACTGCACCTTCTGATGGGTAGTGCAACCGGTTTTTAGCTTTTGTATATTCTCTGTGACTTATCCAGTCATGTATATTAGTTAAGTCCCTGGTGGTGAGGGAATTTTTGCATGTTGTGCAACCACTTTTTAAATTTTGCAATACCTTTCGCACTACCCATCCTGCAGTATAGGCCCGTGAGTGTACATTTATTTTTTCTCTTCGTGCCTGTTCTAAAATCATATCAATACTGGGATGACCCGGCACGGTATCTCTGTCATCAAACAGTGTTTGCAAATTAAGTACTTGATCAGCCGGGTCATCCTCACAATTAAACGTTTCATTATGAAATTTTAGTATTCTAGTTATTAGTAAGGATTTATATGTGCAGCTGAAGCTGTGGCAGTCTGGGTCATTGTTCCTAAAATTATAGGCTCGCACTTGCCCAAAGAAATTTTCAATAGGGTCAGAATTAAAATATCTCGGATGCATTATCTTCATATTTTCTTTTTTAAAAAGCTGCCACAGCCTCTGATAACTTTTTAATGTAGTTATAAAAGTTGCCAATGAGGGCACTGACTTTTCTGTTCCTGTATTATCGACATATTTCATATTTTGTAATTTATTTATAGATTCATTCCAGAATACATGATGCGGTGAATTATTTGTGACCGCCGTTCGTAGACACTTCCCTTTAGATTTTTTCCCTAACATGGAGGCTCCGTTTATGCTATCAAATAATTGGTCTAAGAATAAGACGGTCTTTGCGGTGTTGTCCAGGATTTCACTGACGGGTCTACCATCGGCATAGTGCGCTGAAACAATATTTTAAACATCCTATAAAAATAATGTCTTTTACAAATATTGATAACTTATACTAAAACGCCGCCCCCGGCTTCGTACGAATGCAATGTATACTATAATATATATGTAAATGTTCCTCTTCGATCATTCTTCTTTATTGCTAAAAACTGCATGGAATCCGATGCCTATATTAAAAGTTTTAGGGATACATATAGAAAGAGCAATTTTGTACTATACTATCTATAGATTGTTTTATGAGTCCTGTTGTATCTATAGATTGTTTTACGAGTCCTGTTGTACCATGTCATATTATGACCATTTGTCTGTTAGTGAAATAACATTAAATTTATTTTATATCTATCTAAGATGAGCATGACACACCTTTTACTTCAGTACAACAGAACTAAATGTTTATTCAGTATTATAAAATATACTTACAAAATTTTGCAGTGTATGATAATGCAGCAGACATGGTACTGCTTAATACTTTTACACAATTCTTTACCTATAACAAAATACAAATTTCAATAAAATGTTGACAAGACAAAATAAGTAAGACCGCCAACCAGATATTATGTAAGACATATGATTTGGTCAGCATCAGATGATTGTACTTTTGATGCTGACTGTACTAGCTTTGCAAGATTATTTCTTTGTATTAATGAAGGAGAACCCACCTTCATTTTCTTCATCTTTTCTGGAATAACATGTTCGTCATTCAATTTATGTAATAGCCTGACCTCAGCATGACTACAGTCTGTTTTGTAGACATCAACAATATCACTCCATTTGGAAGTTTCCCATCCATTAATATATTTTTAGTTATAAAGTTATTCCGCAACCCCTTAATCAAATGACAGGGGTCATAAATAATATTTAAATTCACCCCTCTGATTTTCACAGTGCCATCTGAAAAATAAATTCTATTAAATACAATTTATTTGTATAATGTTGATAAACTTTTTTGCTGACTTATTGCATAAGACACTGTTTTGTAATAGGTGGAGGTGACAATAATTCCACTCAATATCTCGACTTCAGTGAACAATGATGGATAAGCAATTTTTTGAGCCGTGATTCCGAAGTAATAAAACGATTCTCGAAGTGCTTTTGACACACGAAAAGATTCGAAAGCTGATCTTTAGGTAATGCCTTCAAATCATCACGGTTTATACACTTTAACCACATAGTAAGTCTTTTCCAGTTGCCAGGAAAATGATAATAAAGTGTCCTGTCGCGATCTTTTGCACACACAGCACTCGTAGTACATCGTAAAAGACGTAAAATACGAATAACAATGAAGGCCTAATTGCATATAAAGTGGAGAGTAATAAGCACAAGTACTTGACTTGATCAACACGTTAAACCAATCACTATATAGTTTGTGCATTAAACCACAGCGTTAAACGCAATGAATAATATGGCCGGCCGGCGTATCATACATGTCATGTGTCATGTCATGCTTGTCGAAGAAGCAATTTCATCAAAATTTAAAAAAAGAAATGTCACTTATTTCCAGTAATGGCGGCCGACTATTCCGTTGTATGAAGATTATTGATGGTACAACGAAAAAGGTTTTTTTAAATATAATTTATTCATGGCCATGGATACAAGTCTTTCAGTCATATACATAAATACAAATCTTAATCTTCTTTTTTTACATTAGAATATCGATGTGACGCATTCTGTTTCTTGGAGTGTTAGGCACGAATGTATCGAGTTGGTTTTATCGATAAGCTTCTGTGAGGTAGACAACACTGAAAAAAAGTTCTCACGTCCTCTTGGCCGGAATAGCGTATATTTTAAAGATTCCACAAATTCTTCAGTTGCGCTGATGGTCCTAACACAAATTCACAGCAATTTTATTTCACAATATACTTACACTATGAACGAATTTAAGAATAATCAAAATAAGACTCCAACCTCACTCCACTAAATCCCACCAAAAACTCCCAATTAAAAATGTAATGCGAAATGCTAAAGTCGAATGAAAAAAAATGTTGCTATTGTAATAAAACTTTCACTGTTAACAAGGCAGATTATTTTCATAACGTCTCTTTTCATGGCCTTTAATTATTACTTATCAAGGGTATGTCCCCAGATTCTGCCATTGGAAAACGAGATGAAGACCCCCAAGGACTTCGTGGGCAAGTTCGGCGTGCTGAACCGCGCCATGGTGAGCATCATCATACTGTACGTGGGCATGGGCTTGTTCGGCTACCTGCAGTACGGGGAAGAGGCAAAGGGCAGCATCACCCTCAACCTACCGTCGGATAAGGAAGTGTAAGCAACAATCTTAATCTAATATATAAAACTAGCAAACCAGTGAACCAAATGTTCACCAAAACCTGATTTCTTGAAAACCGGAAGTGCTACGTTACTCAAATCCGGTTTGTAGTCTTATCAGACTATTCTTAACTTATAACTTAAATATTCTCTTTATCTATTTCTTACGGTTTGGCCGCTGAAACAGCACCACAGATAGACGAACGGACTTGTCTAATAGATAAGAGATTCTCGTGTCACGGGGTGCGTAATTCAACTTATCCGAAACGACTCGACCGATTTTCGTGAAATGTTATATATTCAGTAGTTCTGAGAATCGGACAACATCTATTTTTCATCCTCCTAAGTGTTGAGGGTGGTCCACACTTAAATTATTATTTATTTTTTGAACACATTTTTTTATTTTTATTTTTTTATGATACATCGTTCAAAAATACATACAACCCTAAAGGACACCCGGCATTATGTGCCAAAGTTGTATACTTTTTTAATTTTTTTATCTGTGTTTCATAATTGGGTAACGTAGTCTGGCAATATTTGTCATCAGCAGCTAGCTATCAATGTCAAATACGTAGGTTTGTCAATAAAACCTCTATATGTAGCCGGGTCGTCAAGAGAAATAACGGATGAAAAGGCAATCACAGCAGAGAACATTCACAATCACAGTACGCGGGAGCGGATGCGAATGATTTTTTTGTTTGTATTTTAGGATTGTCAAATTGACATTTGGTTTTTTATTTAGAAAAAGCAAAGGAATCATGGTTTTTACAGTCACTTGAGTAATATTTTGAAGTAAAATTCTGTCCCTTGAAGATTGAGGGTTTCCATATCAAAAAATATTAATCATTACATAACTTCTTTCCACGATTGACTAAAAATAAGGCAAAAGTAGTTTTATGTAGCAAATAATTTTGGCTTTATTTTGAGACCAAATTCAACTGTATACAAGTTTAGCATTTTTTCTATGAAAAGTGCCGGGTCTCCTTTTAACCCTTCTACCACCCATATTTTTATGGCGATACGAAGTTCGCTGGCTCAGCTAGTATATAATATATAAATTACGCGTCACGTTGTTTGTCCGGGATGGACTCCTAAACTACCTTACCGATTTTAATCACAATTTGCACGCAGTGTGCAGTTTGACCCAACTTGAAAGATAGAATAGCTTACATCTCAATTTATGTATATTCACAATATTATTTAATTGCAAATTATTTGTTTATTATTTGACATTCACAATTATCTGTTAGCTCCAAACGATTCTAACAGATGGCGGTGTCTGTTGACTGGATTGAGTAAGTATTCAATAGATGGCGCTGTGTTAAAAGTACCAACTTTTTCTTACTCCCAAGTGGTGAGGGAGTCCACCCCATTTATTTTACACAATCTGTAATCATTTCAAAATGCATACAACCCTAAATTTTCACCCTTCTACCGCTCATATTTTTATGGCGATCCGAAATTCGCTGGGTCATCTAGTTGTTAATACTTCTAAAAAGAAGTTAATTGAACTACTCCGAAACGGCTCGACCGATGCATATTCAGTAGGTCTGAGAATCGGACATTTATTTTTCATCCCCCTAAATGTTAAGGGTTAACTCATAAATTTATTCTCTAATAAATAAATTAAAAATAAATAAATTATATAAATTAACTCTAAATTTTCACCCTTCTACCACCAACCCATATTTTTCATGGCGGTACGAAGTTCGCTGGAACAGCTAGTATACATATTTTTCTTGCACACACCAATTAGCCTAGCGCCAAAGTATCTAAGCTGAAGTTTTGTAGAAAGCTTGTGTTATAAGATAAGATACTAGAGTAATAGATACATGAGTCCAGATCCGTTCTCCTATATAATTCTAAAAATGTATATAAACAGCAATGATTTAAGTACAAATGCTCACATTCACCAAACAAACACTTGCCCCACCGGGAACCAAACCCAGATAAGACCACTGAGTAGGCGACACCACAGAACATAAAAAGAGGTTAGAAGGGTGATCATGTGATGTCTTCGGGTTGCCCCCACTACACTTCCACCTAATAGATAATAGCCAATGAAACGACGCGACATCATAACATTGAACCAATCAGAGCTCACACTCTAGAGCTAAGATGCAATCAGACCCAAGTTTTGAGTATTTGCTGGCGCTTTGCAGACGACGGGGCGGGGCGGGCCGGTCAATCTCGCCGCGAATAATAGCACAAAGTGAATCCTATACTTCAAACGCACACAGCGGTCAAAAAGACCGCGCCTTGGGTGCCCGGCGGGCACTGGCGGCGCGGCATGTCCGCGGCTACCTGCCCTGGATCATACAAACCAGTTTATATGCAGTAACGCAGACGGCGGCGCGGGGCGGTCATGGACTATTCACTAGAACGAACGTCCTAAATTGACCGCCTCTGCCCGCCGTATGCTTTGTGTACGCGTCGCGGGCAGCCGCAGACAGCGACGGGCAGACGCGGTCTTTATTGCTTCGCGGACAAAATGCCCGCCCCGCCCCGTCGTCTGCTCAACGCCTCTGTGGCACGCCTGCCCCACCCACAAGGCCCTTCTAAGCTCTTTCTGTTCTCTGTGGGAGACACCTTGAAAACCACTCACACACACCTCCGAAAAAATGTTTTAAGAAAGATAGCCACACCAGGGTTTCTTTAATTGGAAAGTAAGGAAGCTACTTCCACGCTAATCAAATTGGTGCAAAAGTTACGACCCTTCTGCACCTAAGGCGTCGTTCTCATTTGCAACGATCGCACGATGACACTGCGTTCTCGCCGAACGATGATTTTCAAACAAAGATTTCTTCATAAGTGTCCATAATACACACCGGACCGTGAGTTTACCCCCACCTAATTACTCAAAGTATATAAAAAATGAGACAGTAAACTATTTAATTTAAATTATAATATATTATGCCTGTGTTATACAATCGTTAATAAATGGACAAATTACAAAGAAACCTTTTTACAAAGTGCAGAATGGCAAATTCTTTAATTTGCTCCTCCCATTATAGGGGTAATATCAAAGGAGTTATATTCAACAATGTATTTTTAGGGCCCCTTGAATCCACGGGGCCCTGGGCTGAAGCCTAAAAAGCCATATGGTAGATCCGGCCCTGATAATACAGCTGCAATGCCACAAGCACAGGAACATTATTTTCATAGCACGATGAGATCGCATCGTGCGTCGTATGATCGTTGCCAATGAAGGCTACCGTGCCGTGTTCTGCCTCACCAGATTGCGCCACTGTTGAGTGAGGTCCTAAATTGTAACTTTTAAAATTTATTAATACGCACATGAAATCAAAGGTTACATTTAGATCGTATTTTAACACAAAAGAACCATATCCTAAACATAATAGGCCATGCCACAGTGACGCCCAGTTCCTTTTTATTCGGAAAAAATGGGAACATAATCATTTTTCCATACTCAAATTTTTAATAACTGACATTCATTGCCACATAACTCATATTTGCCATAATTAAGCCGAATTGTTACCAATTATTCACAACATTATTTTAATTAGAAATAAACCCGCGTAGACAACCAACAAGCAATAACATTTGACATTTCGGAGACCTCACGCTACACTAGCGCCGCTAGCGGCGGATTCATACGCGATAGCCCTCATTAGGACGGCGCCTAAGGTTCCTTACTTTTTTTATTTTATATTTATATAAATATTGACAATTGAAATAAGATGCACTAACAAACCGCTCTTCTTGTTCTCAGGCTGGCTAGTGTGGTTCAGTGCCTACTAGCCTTCGCGATATTCATCACGCACGGCCTCGCGTGCTATGTGGCAATCGACATTCTATGGAACGAGTACATCGGCGTTCGTATGCTTAACAACAAGCACCGCCTCATTTGGGAATACGTTGTCAGGACCATCATTGTATTCCTTACCTGTGAGTATTGTCGATATTTTAATGTTACAGGTCGCGGCACGTAACTCTAGCGCTGTACATAACGCGGAGGGGATAGCTGCGCATGGGCACAGAATATATACACTACGCGAAAAGAAACGACACATAAGCATGTGTGCTCGTAAAATCGCCCGCGGCTATGTGTGGGTGTCTGAAGGTGTGCGGGGGCGTTGCGCGGCGCGCGGGGCGTGGAGAGGGCAGTCGCCGACTGCCTCGACCGAAGGCATGGCAGTAGCGAAATAGTAAAATAATAGCGTTGCACTGCATTGCACACACTGACTGACTACGCTACGCAATGTTATTATTATTTAGATAATAATAAGAATTATAAAACGAATCCAAAAAGCAGAAAATATATAAGAGTTAGCAATTTGTAATAGTACCTACATTAAAAGATTAGAAATTGATTAAAAAATCAAACCTATCCTTCATTACTTACCCCAGTATCCTTGAATCAGTTTACATTTAATAAATTACTATGCATAAATATTCATTGGCACAAGTCTAAATTCCAATTCGGTTCTACCCTAGCGCATACACGCCCCTGCTCAAGGTCACTGACACTGGAACTCTCACGTACAGAGAGTGTCACCGCTGTGCCATGGGTACGACTGTACAGCCAATCGGCGCAACGCATGCCCACCCGCGTACCTCCGTTTCCCCCCAACACATCTTAATTTTTAGTCTTGCCTAATAACGGTCAGCGCTAGAGTTTCATGCCGCGACTTATAAGTAGTAAGCTTGAATGGAGCAATGGTTAGCGCACTAGATATTCGACCGTTGAAGTAAGGCAACTTTCTCAATAGCCGGCCATATGAAGGATAACCAAAGTTTCCTCTCGCTCCTCCTTTACGGAAGTCACTTACCCGTTGGTCCCAGCTGCTTCTGCAGTCGTAAGCAGTGCCGTCTTTGACCTATTGGAGGCCCTGGGCATATTAGGATAATGGGGCCCCTATGACTTCCGTTTGGTGATTTAACAGGAACTAGGGACTTTGTATTTGATCTGAGGGGGCCCCCTATCGATCGCGGGGCCCTGGGCACTTGCCCAAAGTGCCCACTGGGAAAGACGGCTCTGGTCGTAAGCATCCATTAATCGGCACTAAGCCCGCGTGGGAAGGCGTGTGCCCCAACAGTAGGAATGCTGATGATAAAGTTCAAATAAGCGTTAGTCGAGGAGTTTGATCTGTAATCTTTAATATATTTAATTGATAACACCATTTACCTACGTAGCTCTTAACTAAATAAGAAGGCAGTTAATTATTTAAGCTCTTGCGTGTTATTGAATTGTACTGTATTTACTCAGTATCGAGCTTAGCTACAGGCAGTATTACTACATTTCACGTGACAAATATTGTATAATGACAATGGAATCTTTCCTGTGCGTGTGCGACTATCACTTGTTTTATTTCTCCTTCTCGATTAAACCGATTTGAAAGGCTTAACACGCATAATACAGTGGAAAAACCACTAATAATCAATTTATTGTCTGTACAGTTGGCATCGCAGCGGCTGTTCCCGAGCTAGACTTGTTCATCTCGCTGTTCGGTGCGTTATGCTTATCGGCGCTGGGGCTGGCGTTCCCCGCATTCATCCAGAGCTGCACGTACTGGTACTACGTATCGGACTCCGAGCGCGTGCGCATGATCATCAAGAACGCGATCGTCGTGCTGTTCGGCGTCCTAGGGCTCATAGTCGGCACCTGGACCTCGCTCGAAGGAATCATCAGCAAATTCTCCGGCCACGACTCTCATTCACACCCAGTTCTCAACGCGACAGAAATCTTGAACGCAACAGTCGCAAGCGCCTTCAACTCCACAGAATCGCTCTAAAAAATCTTTTGCCTCGCTCTACCGTTCCAAGAACGTCATTTGACTGTGCCATCGCGTTACACACTAGCGTGAAGTAGTTTAAGTACGCGAAAATTTCGTAAGGAGATACATTACCTAAGTTAGGTCGACGCGTATTATACATATGTTTGATAATTTTGTTAATTTATAATTAAGTTTATTTTTATAAGCATTTTCCATTGGTACAGTTGATGCAGTAGTGTTGAATGTATTATGAGTTTAAGTGTTGACTGTAAACGTTATTGGACAGCTATGTTTTCAGTAATTTTAAGAACAGATAAGTGTTAGGCACATCTAGAGCCCATATGGAAAAAATCGAATGGCACCAACACAAAGAGTGGGCCATTAACCTACTTAGACAAATGAAATTTGTTTCAAAAACGACCAACGTCTCTTCTAATCGACTTGCCCATTAAATTTCTAGCTATTTTTAACCTAGTTGTTTGACTATACAAATTATGGTACATAGTGCATGTTGTGATTTTATTATTAATTATTCTGAGATATCTGTTAGTAACCGTAGGTAAGTGCCGTTAAATGATAAATGATATTATAGCGATGGAAACGTTAGGTCTGAACTCAGTTCAACACGGTATATCTTTAAAAGACACTTGTCATTATAATGTTGCAAGTGGAATTAAAGTTGTTTTAGCCGCGGTATTATATCTGACAGTAATTTATTTATACATAGTTAAATTTATTAAATTATAAAAGAAACTACGCATGACTCGGTGATGATGTAATTATTGTTTTTCCTATATGTCCGGTGTTATCGTTACTATTTTATAGGGAAAATGGAAAACTAAAGATGGCAACTATTGTGAAATGCCGTGGCAAACACTCGTACAACAGTGAGATTCTACGTCAAATGAAGCATGGCATTTTGTTAGGGTAAGATTTAATATAAGTATAGTGTTGTAACTATCATAGAAATATAACATAGTGGAATTCCCGACTGCGCCTATTGCTATCATAATAAATTGGACAACGCATAGGTGGAGTGACCTCGCTAAACCAATCTTTAAGGTAAGCCGGACTGTTGCGAAGGGAGTGTTTCACTTGATAATTATATTACGCAAACAAACCAATGTGCCAATTATATAGTATCGACTTCACCTCGCTCCTTTGTTAAACAAACGAGCTGTACAAATGATTCACACACTTTAAAATGGTTCCGTTTTCGATTTGTTTTTTCTTTTAAATACAATCTGTGATGTTGATAGTTGTATGATATTTAAGTTTAATAGGACTTATATTTGGTTAACTGTGTTACTATATTCGATGTGTTTTACACATCAGTGATAATGTGCTCAGAGCGACGTATTCAGGGGTCGAATCCCGTATTATTAAAAATAATAAAAGATAAACATTATAATGTAAACCAAATTTTGTGTTTTATTTTGTTTTTTATAATACTTACAACCCCGCATTGGACATTTAAATCTAAAGCAAAATTTTACTGGAAATAAATCCACGCGGTCCAGGCAGCAGACGGGACTCGAACGCGCAACCTTCGCTATCCAGGTGGATGCACTCAAGATTACGCCGCCGCGGCCCTAACGGCCGAGTCGATTTATTTCTAGTATTTCTTAGGCTGCAGGCATAAACTTTTTTGTAGTAAAATTTTCTTAAGATTTAAACATCCACCAACCCCATTAGAAATCTTAACAACGAAAATTGGACTAACTTCCAAAATAATCAATCGCAAATCAAACCAGCAAGAACCACTAACCGCGACAAAAATTACAACTTCATTATAAGTGATTTATTTTAAATCAAAAAATGATATATATTCACTTCATTTCATCATCATCATCATCATGTCAGCCGTACGACACCCACTGCTGAGCATAGGCCTCCCCCAAGGATCTCCACACCGATCGGTCCTGCGCCACTCTCATTTTTTTTTTATAGATAGGTCCGACAAATGACCACCCCACCTGATGTTAAGTGAAGGTGAAGTCCAGACGCGAAGATAGCTGATACAGCAGTTCTACCTGCCACACCAGCCATCCTCACCTTGCCGGCCTGCATGTTGCTTCTTCACGCCTCTTTTAAAGGATCCCAGGTTGTAAGAGGGACGGAACACGTGAGCGGGCAGAGCATTCCATTTACGGATAGTGCGACAAAGAAATGAGTCACCAAATTTTCTTTGCGTCCATCGGCTTCCCGCGACCTTCACAAGATCGTCGGTCCACCTTGTAGGGGCCTGCCCACTGAGCGTCGTCCGGTGCGCGGTCGCCATTCCAGAACCTTTCCGCCCCAACGGCCATCGGTTCTTCTTGCTACGTGTCCCGCCCACTGCCACTTCAGCAGAACAATCTTTCGAGCGATATCGGTAACTTTAGTTCTCCTACGGATTTCCTCATTTCTGATTCTATCGCGTAGGGCAGGGTAGGCGAACCAATGGCACGCGTGCCACTGATGGCACGCGACACAATATTTTGGGCACGTCGCCAATCATAAAACATGTGTAAAAAATGATTTAAGTAGGTATTTTATGACGATCGAACGCGAGTGATCCTACGCTACGAAGTACTGTTTGAAGAAGTTAGCACATGCTATTTTAACAATGTTTTCATCTACCTATGCCTGCGAGTCATTGTTTTCAGAGATGAATAACATTAAAAACTCGTTTAGAAACCGTTTGACAGATGAATCCAGTTCAGCATGCATTTTGCTAAAAGTAGCATCTTACAACCCTAACATAAATTATTTGTTATCAAACCTGCAGCAACAGAAGTCACACTAATTTTACAGTAATCTAATTTATGCGTGTAATAAAAACATTCCAGAATGTGTCTCTTTGGTTTACTTTATTTCATAAAGATTTCTGATAGTATTTATATTATTATCTTCTAAATAATCATAAAGTCAAAATTATTTGATGGCATGCCAATGACCCAATTAAAGATTTTTTAGAAAAAATGGCACGTTGATTCATAAAGGTTCGCCTACCCTGGCGTAGGGAAACACCGAGAATCGCTCTCTCCATTGCTCGCTGTGTGACCTTGAGCCCCTTTATTTAATTCTTGTTAAATATAATTAAATACCATATAATGCTGCTTTGCCTCGAATTACCATCCCATGATAGCGATTACAGAAAACTTTATTTTTGAAATGAAACTTCGATACGTAAACTTGACTAGGGAAGTAAGCTGGTGAACGCGTTACGAAAAGTGTGATCGGGCTAGTCGAACAGGAGTTGAGTGGGGTATATAAGCAAGAGAAAGCAGTGCGCGCGCACATTTTCTTTCTCTCTTTCTCTTATAGCTAGTAAATGAAATATGTATATGTACATACATGTATATATTGTACACACATATTTATACATACAGATGGAGCTAAAGAAGTTTCACTTCAGTCGTGTGGTCATAAGCACACTCGTTTTTTTATATATTTTTTCTATATATATAGCTACTATATAGCTACTACGAAAACCACTGGCGGGAAACTAAACAATTTTCATTATACTAAGCGACTAATCATTAAGCGCAACGTAAATAAAAAAAATCAACGTTTAGAAATAACAACTATATTTATTTTTATAATGGAAAATAATGAAATAAAATGAATGGCAAACCGTTTTTATATGCTCCCGTACCCCATAATTAACATAAGAACACTATTGAACGGTCTGTAAAGCGTCCTTAGTCACCAGACCGAAGTGTCAGCTGCAATGTTAGTTAAGTAGAAAGTCTTTCCATTTTTATATAATGCATATTTTGTATCACAATAGGGTATTTGACAGTAATAAAAATAAAGTGACAATTTTTGCAACAAAAATGTTCATAATTTTACTAAAAACCCACGAAAAAGTTAATAGTTTTCTTATCCATTGTCACGTGACCCAAAACGCTTGGGATTGGCGGAGCCTAAAATGACGTCACACGCAAGTAAACTTCCGGTTAAAGTGACATTACATTGTATCGTTTGACGTTTCACGTGTCACACACTAGTAAGAAGCCATATTGTCCAGATAAACGTTTTCGCGGCAACTTGAAAATGGAGTTATTGATTTGGTTATTTTTACTGAAATACACAACAGAATGATGAATATCCACTTTTTGAGGACACCATAAACATTAGTCAATAACGTGAGATCGTTTTCTAAAACTTGTCAAATACCCTATTATGCTTTGTAATAGCTTTTTGTACTAAAATGAGCTAAAATCTAAGATTAAAACAAAAAGGGAAGATACGGTACGCTCATACTAGAATCAAATAAAATATGATCCGACTCAACTACATAAGCAACTCACACACGCACCGCTGTATATAATCATTCAATCGAGCGAGCGAGACAAAACTGTACGATCAACGCAGCGCGACCGAAACGGCGAGTCCGCTTCCGAGTCCGTACGGCTGAGCTGTATTGTTGTCCTTTTCATGATAAATAACATTCACGACAAACCGTGATTTTTGAGAAAAAAAAAGTTTTTACAGTTTTACGAATGAAAAGTGTTCTCGGCAACACTTTTGACATTTGATTTTGAACTATTCGTGTTCTTTACAAAAGCATCGAAGGCATTGTTTAGATGTCCAATTGTGACTAGAGCTAATTGTGGTCAAGCACCATAATTTAAGCGGCTCACTTTTGAGCCGCAAGTGCCGTATCTTCCCTTTTTGTTTTAATCTAATATTCTGTTATAATCTAAGGCTAAAATATGTGTTCGAAATTTGAATTGGTTCAATCCATTCATAATATCTTATGAAAAAATTGTGTGCAGGGACCATACATCTGAAATGAAACTTATTTTCTTAAATAACCTTGCATTTGGTGGTATATAAGGCATAGAGAATTAAGCAGCGCACGCATCATTCATATATATGTATATATACTGTCACGTCATCCGTTTCAACATTTTCATAGATTTTCCCATTTACACCCCATCAGAAAAGAAGTTTCACTTCAAACAAAGTAGTTAGCCTACGTTAGAACTGTGACAAGTCGCAATAAAAAACAGAAGTATGAATAAAGCTGTGCCAAAAATTTTACCGCTCTAGAACCCGTTCAAAAGTGTGGTAAATGCATGATCAACATTAAAATATACAATGTTAAGAAATAACATTACACAACAATTTATGCATATGCAGAATCGTTTATTCCAAACATCGCTATTGGGTGTCGGTTGTTAATACGAGTTCGCTTCGAGTTGGCCGCATAGAGGTATAATAATAGAGTGGGGAAGGCGACTCTAAAAGTGTCCGTCTAGTAGAAAGAGAAAGAAGATGAGAGACGGCTAGCCTTTCTCTCTCTAATCGCGAATGCGCATTGGATGAAAAACCTACGGATGAATACCGACCAATCACACGACTGCGCATCAATACCGTCCAATCACACGACTGCGCAGCGTCACAAGAGAGAGAAATAGCTAACCGTCACTCATCTTCTTTCTCTTTCTACTAGACGGACACTTCCACTTGTAGTAGAGTACATATCTCCCCTACTCTATTCTTATACCTCTATGGTTGGCCGCACGCGCACCGCGCTCCTATTGGTCGACGCTACCAGTTAATGTGTCCGTGATTGGCCCGTCACACATCTCATAACGGGCATCGACGGGCAACTCGAAGCGGACGGGTAGTAAATAGTATAACTTAAGATTTATCAAACACGATTAGTCCATAACAAAATTTAAGCGCGCATTAATTTAAAAAAATGCGCTTATAATAATAGCTATACTTAAAACATTAAAATTAAGTTAGAACCAAAGTTAGTTAGCTATTTGTACTCTTCACGTTCAAATGTATCATTGAAGGCTACATCGAAAATTTAAATGCTTTGGCAATACAAATACACGTAATACTTAAAAATTAAAAGGAATCCTCCATCTCATTAAAATGTTAAATAAATACTTCAGTATACTTATAGGGCTAAGTTGATGGATACAATTTTGTACTTAAACTATAATTGTTTAAAAAGTCTTTCGTCCACTGACCAAATGTAAACTTTTGAGGGAAATACGACTTCATAAAAACAACAATATTAAAGCAGTTAAACGTATCATACTTTTTTTATTGCTCTCTTATTTTGGAAGGAAAAGGATATTATATTCGTACAGCCATAGTTAAAATTAATATTTTCTTCGTTATAGGTAAGTAAACGAGTAACAGTTTTCTCATAATTTAGCTAAGGTAGTCAGGACCACTCACGCCTATTCCAAGGATTACACCTGTTACCAAGTAAGCAAGTCATATTTGAGACAAAACTACATTGATTTTACATACAAAGATCCATCACAAATCAATTACATATACTGTATACAGCAAATTAATATGAAAAGAGAATAGATGTTAACTGCACCTGTACATCTTATTTTAATTATGCAATCTTTTAAGAAACGGCTAATAACAAATGCAGAGAGGAATAAAAAATAAATAC